AACAAGATGTCACTGGAATTTAGCTTCACTTTATAGAACTACTGTGATCATTGTTCCTAACGGAGAATTAACCTAAGTATATAACCCAATACATTACAATCCTAAATAACTGTAAACTATGATATTAAACCCACTGTAAAAACATGGAATTCTTAGCAAATGGCAGCCGAAAAAATTGTAGCTAAATTGTTAACCAGGAATTAAAAACTCAAAGCTTTCATGCGTCAATCTAGAAAACATCACAGATTTCTTTTTTTAAAAAAAAGGCTAAAAATGAAGTTAATTACTATATGAGATTCTATGCAAACTGGTTTGAACTGCACATGATTATTAAAAAGTTATATCATTAACATGATTCCTCTGAATATCACAGGCAACACAGGTTGTTCACGGACTAAATGGGCCTGTAACTAGTCTTCCATAACCTCCCTGACTCTCACCACTAGTCTTCCCAAGTCTCAACACTATTTGACATCAGCCTTTTCATGTATTGTTTACTTGTTTATTCTCCTTTCATCCTCTCCCACTGCAATATTGGTTCCATAAGGGCAAAAATCTTACCTATCTTATTTGTCCACTGTATGCCCAATGCTTAGAAGAGGGTCTAGCACCTAGTAGAAGCTAAATATAAATTTGCTGAATGGAAGGGATGAATGAATGCTTTCTCCCTTTGACCTCCCCCACTTCCTTTTCTCCATACAAATGTTAAGCATCCTTTAAGGCCAGGGTCAAATTCCATTATCTCTATGAAGATTACCTCCCTGAACCCTCCAATCTTTCTTATTTCTACCAAGAATTTGGCACTTAGCAGATGATAATTATTTCTTTACATATGCATATACTTAAAGTCCTTACAATCCTGCCCTCCTTAAGGGCATACACCGGTGTCCCCAATTATTGGTACCCACATGTATACTGTATACTTTCAATAAATGTTTTGCTTGCTTTTTATATATAGCTAATCCAGAAATCAATTTAATCATTTCAACTTATATATGCCTCCCTCCTAAATAACTCAAAACAGGCCATGACAGCCAAGTGGGTCCCCCTCTATTTTAAATTTATCTCTGGAAATTTCAAGTTTTATATTTCCTGCTCATAACTTACTTTATCCTCTTCCCCTCCCCCAGATTAAATTTCTTATGTAATAAAAATCCTTGTGACTTTTTCATGATATCTAGAGCGAGGCTTCTAGCCCCAATCATGAAACGGGTAAAGTTTCATTACCTTCTTGTTGCTGAGGTACTTGCAGATATTTTTTCCCTTTATGCCTTTTTCCTTTCATGCCAAAATGTATCCCATTTCCCTCTTTACTGATCATAACCCTGGCAAGCTTTTATTATTTCTTTGTACCTGTCCTCGTTAATCTGCCTTAGATCTTTCTTTTTGAGCCAGTCCTATTTATTTCCTTCAGTCATTTATTTGATTAAATTTCTAACTCCCTTTTTCCTTCAGTCATTTATTTGATTAAATTTCTAACTCCCTTTCTCAATCAGTTTAAGAATGGCCTCGTCTTAAAGCCTGAGCCTGCTGCTTTAAATTCAGCCAACCTTTATAACCTCACCCCTTCACACAGCCAACCCTTGATCATCTGGACTAATAAAATGTATAAAAATATCAGATTATCCACAACACAAGAAAATCAGAAAAAAATTGAGATCTGGCTTTGGAATATATCATGAGGGTCTGAGCAAGTTTTACTGACTTAATTATGTTTTGCTTAAACCAACATCAGTAAGATTTTCTTTTATGATGATGGATATGTGTCTCGGTTTTAAAATTTGATGCAGTTAATTTAAAAAGAAGTCGATCAAGCACCAACTGCGGTTTTTTCCCCACGAATCCGTTTCAGCTAGGTTCCTTCAATCTGTTAAAACCTGCCATAAAATCTGGTTTCTGTTTCCCCTGACTTATCTCTCCCTTTTCTTGGAATTCTGATCCAAATCAGCTCACCATATATTAATTCATCTCTTCAATTTAAAATATCTTCTGCTTGAGAACTCAAAGCACTTTAAAAACATTAAATCTCCAGTGAAATTTCAGTCCAGATAACAGGATAGAAAACCTCATTTTTGTCAGATACTCCAGGAAAACCTGGGTTTCTAGGATAAATTACACTGATAATTCTAGCCAAGTATTTTTAGCAGGAAATTTATGATCGGTTGAAAAATAGAAAAACTTTACCACTGGATAGCTGTGTAAGTCTGCTTGATCAATATATAATCCCATATCCCAAAAAACTCTATTGAATTAAATTCCCAACACATGAATTCATAGAAAATAACATCAAAACAAACTCACACATCAACCCTAGCCCTTCTCCTGACCCCAGCCTAAATTCCACACCCATCTCAGACCTACTCTTAAGCCCTGGTCTCAGCTCACCTCCACTCCCAACCATGCCTCAAATAATTTTTAAGTGTATAGGAGAAAAGAAAAGAACTGAGTTAACGGGATCTTCTCTTTTGCGCCCCTCTCAGTGTTACTACCATTAAGCCTTTGGCAACAGAGGCCCACCCCCCAACTCCCAATTTTACCTGACTATTGTACATTTGGAAACCCTGGTGGCATAGTGGTTAAGTGCTACAGCTGCTAACCAAAACGTAGGCAGTTTGCATCCACCAGACGCTCCTTGGAAACTCTACAGAGCAGCTCTACTCTGTCCTACAGAGTCACTATGAGTCGGAACCGACTTGATGGCAATGTTTTCTTTTTAATTGTACATCTATCAAACTGAACCACAGCACAAGGACTTCTTGAATTCAAGGAGCAAAACTGAAGAATTCTGCATTTCTAATCCCTGCCACCTCCATAAGCATGCCTATTCAAAAAAAACTACAATGTCTCATTGAAACACCCAAGTAAAATAAGTACAATTTTAAACCAAATCATATATTTTACTTTGAGTTACTGACATACCAGAAGTTAAAACGTTTTCAGATATCATTACCACAGTTTATATATTTTTAACATACGAATGTAAGTTCACAGTACTTGAACTGACTTATTTTCATACACTATTATTAACCATATGACTAGCAGAATTAAGAATGAACTCATTTCTAATTTTTTCCCTATGTGGAACTTCGGTAACTGCACATTATTTTACCTAAAAGCCAACTTTTCGGCTGGTATTATTAAACCCAATTTTTTACATAAAATGTTAACCAAAAAAAAAAAAAACTGTTTAATATACCCTCCCACTCAGTACTCAAACTCAATAAATTCCACCAGCTTTACTTTAAAAAAAACAAACCAGTTTTCATGGTACCTAGTCCCATTTTGACTAAAATACCTACACAAAGCTATGAAGTCTTAGTTTTTCAATGTACTTCTCCAAGCTGCTGCCTTCACCAAATACAGAACTCCATAAGCCTCAATTACGGCCTCCCAAGCTCTGTGTCCATCAATACACATAAGTCTCAAAAAAAACTAAGTAATTTTTTAATTCATTAACTCAACTGGCAAAAAAATTTTCTTTTAAAATTTTACCTTAAGTTTTAAAATCTTAAAAACTTTTCTTGATGGAGATAAAACAGAATAAATCCTTTGAGTAAACAGTTGTCACTGAAGTGTACGCTCAGTCAGTGCCATTGGCAGTGACATAAAGAATCTTTTTTTTTTTGACATGGGTGGTAAATTTCACACACACACACACACACACACACACCCACACACACACCCACACCCACACACCCACCCAAGAAACATACCTGGTCTAAACAAGCTTGATAGGTTTCGTTCATTTGTTTAAGAATATTTACTCTGACAATCTTTTAAAGCACAAGTGGCAGCCAGAGCACTGGGTAAATAAAAACTTGAGTTTTAAAAATCCTGCATCTTAACTCACCTCCCCACGGTTCTAGGGGACAGCACGGCGAACCCCCCGGCAAACGAGATTATGCAACAGGTTTTTCCTCTCGACCTTATTATTCGTTACAGGCTGCTGAGAGGTGTGCTTTCTCCAAACAATCCGAGACACCCAGGACCTCAAAACACCAAAGATCTCTGCAGTTGACGTTTAATAAACTTCTTCAGAATTTTAAAGTATCCATTCATTTTGTTATTCCTGGTGAACTCCTAAACGCTACTGTTTTTAAGATCTACTTTTATCTACTCAAGTTAATTGCTAGCTGTCTTTAGGAAATAAACCCAACATCCGAAAATTAAGGTTTTACATAAATATCCCCCTTCCCCGGAGTTTTATTACATTGGACTAAACATGATAAAAAGACCCTCAGCTGTCTCCCTGGGCTTTTTTATTTCTCATGTTTTCTGGCTGGTGTAAATAAAGAAGTCACTGGCGCACCGGGCCTCACAACACCATGACCGGGGCCCCTGTATGAAAACTGAGTTATTTTGGGGGGGGCGGAGGTGGGGAGGGGGGCCGTTGGTTTGGTGTAAGAAAGCAGCACCATCACCACCCAGGTGGCCTCGCTGCTTACACCAAAGGCGAATTTGGGATAATGGAACAGTCAGGCCGGGCCCCCACTTGGCAGGCGTGTTGTGTAACAGTCATGCCTGGAAGTGAGCAGCTTCGCCCGCGAAGGTGCCGCGTCCCGCGGCGGCTCCTCCCGGCGGGGCCCGGGCCGAGCCCGCTCGCAGCTGAGCGGCCAGGGGCGCACGGACAG